TATATATATATATATATATATATATATATATATATACACACACACACATAAAAATATAAAATCAGAATTGCTACAAAGCAGGGGGGGTCCTATCTACCTGGACATAGGGGTGTTCAAGTCACCTGCTTTCATTAAACCCTCTGGGCCCTAGCCCCGGCCTGTGGTTCCAAGTCACTGAGGCTGTATGGTGGAAGGATGCCACGAAGTAGGACCGCACTTGGGCTGAGAGCCCTCCAGGAAGCTGCTGAGCCTGTCTATTCTCTAACTAGCTGATAAGGCATCCTGGGGTGGGGCCAAACCTAGACACTCTGTGAAGGGGCCCAGCTCCGTGTCAGTCTGCTGGCGAGGTCTATAACCCAATTTTGAACATGTAGGATTTCACCTGTTAGCCTCTCATTTTAAGGCTCAGAACTGAAGTAGGAGCACCTGGGCCCACGCACAACCTGGGAGGGGGTGTGAGCAAAGCCCAGTCAGAGCTCTGTTTCTCCAGCCCTCTAAGGAACCCCCACTGTGCCAAGTCTCCAGTGCTTGCCAGGCCAAAGTTCCTTTTGGTGCAGAAGGACAAGGCCCTGTACATTTAGAGGGAGGAGTCCTGGGTGGGTCCCTGGGTTCTGACTTACTAGCTGCCTGCTTTGGACAAATTGTTTCATCTAGGGGTGAAGTTCAGCCTTCTCACCTGGGAGAGGAAGTGCTAGTCATATTGCCCTCAATGCTGGCTGCAGTAGTTTGAAGAGAGTGGATGCAGGTAAAGAGCTCAGCAATGGGCCTGCTCCTGCCAAGTGCATGACAAGTGGTCACTCCATTTGGGGGAAGGTAGACTCACAAAGCCCTTCCTCAGGACAGGCCTTGCCCCTGGAGTTGGTGGCAGGGCTAGGGCCTATGGGTGGACCCCTCTGTGCCCTATGGGTCTGCCTGGCGGCCTTGAAGACTCCCCTAGCCAACCTCAAGCCAGACCAGAGTAACGTGCCTGCAGGAATGCCAGGGACTGACAGGGACCTCCCAATCTTCCCCACCCATGCCTCCTAAGGCCCTTACCCACACCCTCTGTTCAGAATTCAATCAGAATTCACAATCACAGACCTTTGGGCAAGGTCTCTGAATTTAGCATCAATCTAAGGGCTTTTGGAAATTTTTTTTTGTCTCAGAAGAAAAGCTTTTGTAACTGAAACACTCTCTTCCTAGTACCAGTTGTAGCAAATCTCTCCAAGCCCCACCCACTTGTGCACGTATGTCGACATTTTGGTGGTAAGAATGTACATTCCACTTTGAATTCTTCTCTTACACAACATTGTCTTCCTGGACTGAGTCGCTTTACAAGTGTGTGTATTATTCATTACGGAACACCAGCCTCCGGAGCCATGTGGCGCGCTGCTCGGAACAGCAATATGGGGCTGCTGCCTGCTGTGCACTTTGCAGACATCTTCTTGTTCGCCCCTCACAAAAACCCTGTGGCCTGGGGATTATGCTCCCTGTTTTACAGATGAAGAAACCGAAGCTCAGCCCAAAGTCATCCAGTTAGCAAATGCTGAGCCAGGACTTCATTCAGCAAATACTTCTGAGTGTCTACAAACACCAGGGCCTGCCGGGCACTGCGACAGAAAACAAAGTATTCAAGGTCCCCAGTCTCCCGTAGGTTCCAGTCTGGTGGATAGTTGGACATTACACAATGAGCAAACAAGGGTGGGGTGGTTGTCAGGTGGACTGGGTTGCTATTCTAGTTCACAGCAGGAGCCAGGTATAGCTGTTTTCTTCACTACCCAGTGCTGCCGAGCCCTACAGTGCACACTAAAGACACTTGAGAAATGTGTGGAAAATGACCTCTTCTACCACTGTCAGCCTGGTCACGTTTAACTTTTGCCTGATACACCAAGACATGGGCCCAGCATCCTTTACAGCCCAGTCCAGGGTGCTGGACAGACATTTAGGTTATTTCCAGCTTTCCGGCAACATTCTTATGCCTGGGCTTTCTGCTTCAGATGACTTCTTGGGAAAGTCTTGGGAATGGGGTTCAAGGGTCATGAGCATATTTATCGCTCTGAATTTCTCCTTTTGGAGAGCGAGACAGCTGGCACTCTTCCTGAGCACCCACTTTGGGCCAGGCCTTGCCTTCATTACACATCCTTACAGATGACTCTAGGAAGTGGTACTATTATGCCCAATGCAGAGGTAAGCAGCCTTACGCTCTTGAATGCCTGAATGCTTTTGCAACCTTTCAAAGCCATGCTCACACCCAAGGCAGGGCTCCCCCACGTCCCTGGAGAGAATTGTCTTTTTTCATGTAAAACCTATTATTTTAGCATCACTGTGTGCCAAGTTTCTTCATCTCAGCCCTAGTGGTTTTGCCTCAGCAGTGAGTGGGCCCTGCTTGGCCAAGCCAAGGCTGGGCTGATGAGAGCCACCTTCAGGACCTTAGTTTGACTATAGGGAGGGTCTTGTATCCCTATGGATGTGATACATTTCAGACAAAGGAGCCAGGACACCTGCGTTGCCCTTCACCATAGCCAAGGGTCCTCAGCAGGGCTGTCTCCACACCTAATAAACACAAATGATAACAGATAAGACTTTTCCAACATTTTTAATGAGGCAACCTTTTACTCCCACAGGGAACTGCCATCCCATAAAGGTGCTCGAGAACTGGCAGGCACCCGTTTTTTCTAATGATAGAGGCCCAACCCTTACTTCTAGTGGCCCTTCTCTGTGGCCAGGTTTCCCGCATTCCTCTGAGATTACCAGGCTGGTGCCAGCGCACAGTGGGACAAAGGGTCTGTCCCCTGGGCAGGCCATGTACTCACTCCACCTCCCCGCAGGATGGTATTTTTAGACAAAGTCCTTGGTTACCTTATCTAAATGGCCTGACCGGAGACCTTGATTTCTCAGCTTTCCAAACATCCAAGGGGACTCCCCCCTCTCCTGGCTCCTAACTGCTTGGGTGGTTCTCAGCTCCCTCCAGTTCAATGTCCAGGCCCAGCTCCAGAGCTGGCTTGTCAAAAGCCCCCTTTCATTTTAATCCTTTTTAAAAACAACATTTTTCTTGGAGCAAGTTCAGCCAAGTACATGCTATCTAAAAAGATTTTTGCTTCCGGCAGACGGTGAAATTCCCACACAGAAGCCATTTCCTGTGCACCAGGTGCTGCACTAGCTAAGCAGCCAGGGAAACCTCTTGTCCCAGCTCACGTCCGGTGAGACAGGATCTGTAATTTTTATTTATCTGAAGCCCACTTGCTTCCAGAAAGGATGGGCTGAGGGGCATGGGACGGTGTGCTGCTAGGGGAGCAGGGGCCCTCGCCCCCCTTCGCGGGCAAAGGTGCGTTAGTCACGGTCACGCGGCTCCTCCTGCGCGGGGGCGGGCGGGGCGTTGTCCACAAAGCCAGCGACACCGTGGCACTCACCTTAGGCCAGCGTTCCGGGCCGCTGCGGAGGCCGGTGTCCCGCCCGCCCGAGCCGCGAGGCCCCGGCGTCCTCAGCACCACGGACAGGGAAACTGAGCCCACACCCACCACCCCCGCCCCGCCGAAGGCTCGAGGGCTGCGCAGGCCGAGCCGCTGGCCAGTCGCCCCTGCCCCTTCCCGGGCCTCGTTTCCTGACCCGGGGACATTAAGTCCAACGGCTCGGAGCTGGACAGGGCGTGGCTGCGCCTCGCACTGAGCGGAGCCGGCGCTGGGAAATGTTATAAAAACACACCCGCGGAGCTGCAGGAGGCGGCGCCGCGCCCCAAGGTCACGCGGAAAGAGAAGCCAGCCTCCAGGCACTAACTTCCTGCCTGCCCCCAGCCGAGCCTGGGCCTCTGATGTCCTGGGCTTCCGAAGGGTCCAAGCCAAGCCGCGTATCCCAAAGCCTCGCCTAGAGTCCCGGGAGGCCCACGGGCCGTGGCCGCCAGGCGCCCGACCCACCCGGTTCCCGGGCCGCTCGCGGGGAAACCCCGCGCCTCGCTCCTATCCCTCCAACGGCACAACCCCGGGCGCCGGCCCCGCCTCCACGGCCAAAGGGCCCGGAGGCGGGGGATTGGTGCTGCAGCCAATGGGGAGGCAGCGTGGCGAGGCCCGTGCGGTTGTGATGAGTCGGTCAGCCCGCAGCGGCCAATCAGCGGCGAGCCCGGGGCGGGCTGTGATGCGGGCGGTGCTCCTCGTGCGGCGGCGGTATAGGGACGAGCGCCGCGGTGAGTACAGCCAGCTGAGTGCCGCCGCCGCCCGGAGTCCGCCGCCTCCGGCCCGCTCCCGCTGCTCTGCGCCCGCTCGGCCCGTCAGCTAGCCTGAGAGCGGCCTCCGTGAGAGGGGCGCCTGGCCGGACCCTGAGCTTCGCGCCCGCGCGCTGCGGCCGTCCGCGCCTCCTCGGCCGCCTGTCCGGCATGAAGACCAAGTTCTGTAACGGAGGCGAGGCGGAGCCCTCGCCGCTCGGCCTGTTGCTGAGCTGTGGCGGCGGCAGCGCGGCCCCGGCGCCCGGCCTGGGGCAGCAGCGCGACGCCGCCAGCGACCTCGAGCCCAAGCAGCTGGGCGGTCGGCAGCCGCCGCTCGCGTTGCCCCCGCCGCCGCCGGCCGACGAGCCGCCCGAGCCCCGGACGCGGCACAGGGCCTATTTGTGGTGCAAGGAGTTTCTGCCCGGCGCCTGGCGGGGCCTTCGCGAGGACCAGTTCCACATCAGTGTTATCAGGTCGGTGGCGCCGCCGCCCCGGGCGGGGCAGGGCCTGCGGGCGGGCCGGGGCGCTGCAGCCGGGGGCGCGGGGTAGCCTGAAGCCCCCTCTCCCGAGCCCTTGTGAAACCCAAGCCAAACGCCGCGAACGGGGCCCGGCGGCCGCCCAGGCCCTCCCAGAGGTCGGCTGTTGAGAAAATACCCGTTTCGTGGGAAAAACGGTCTTTTCTAAGGAGAACAATACCGTTCGATCACAAAGCACGTTTTGTACAGGAGCTTAAAATATGTCCTGAAAGTCCCTTTGCGGTTTAGGGCCTTGAACGGAGGGATGTTTTGGCTGGCTTAAAAAAATTCACTAGATAACTTCACTTCTAGTTTCTTGGAGTCCATGATTTGATTTTTTTTTTCTGAGTCATTTGTTAGTGTCGAAGGGGTAACTTTTGCTCGTTATCCCCTAACAATGTTTAGACACGTAGGTGTGTTACTAGCCAAAGTTAGGCGGTGTGGCTCCAAAAATAACTGAGGAAGGTTAAGAGATTACCCCCGCCCCGTTTTTTAACTCAAAAATATTTGGTCGTAGATTACAAAACATATGTGTGTGTACATATTCTAACAGGAAAACATAAAAGACTCCCTTGATTTTTACTGCCACTCTGCTCCCATGGGATAACCATTTAACATTTGGTGTGGGTTCTGTTTAGACTTTAAAAAAATTTTTTTTTTTTCCCCTGATAGTTTTCTTTTGATTGGCTGAGCAGGTTGAGTACAGTATCTAGAAACTGGCTGGCTGCTCCTGATGGTCCCCAGATCCGATTGTAGTCATTGATTCCTTTTTCTGTGTCGAGTCTTTCACCAGTGCTGCCAATGCAGCAAAATTAACTGAGCCTCACTTCCTTTTTTATGCCTCTGGCCTCTCTCACAGATCCACGTACGAGCAGTCAAAGGCCGAAAAAGGTAGGAAGCAGAAGACCGGAGGGGTTCAGGTAATCCCTGAATTGCCTTATGAAACTTTTTTTTTTAATGAAACGCTCTTCAAGACTATCGCATTTAGTTAGGCCTCAAAATTCTCAGCGTGAAAAAGATCATTCTAGGTCATTTAATAATCAGTCTGTAAAATGAAAAACCCAAAGGGGCAGTGACTTGCTCAAGGTCACGGGCTACCTGCTGATCCCAAACTACCAGGTCTCTGGTAACCCTCTCCTGCAGTCCTCTTGCCTGTTGCCTATAAAAACGTTTGGCCACCCTGGATACAGTCTTAAGACATTTTTGTAGCCTGTTTTTGGTGTCACTCAGGAGTTAAACCTTTGCGTTTGGCACAAATCTGTCATTCTAAAAGCATTGAAGATGTTTTGTTTCTTCAGGAACTAATAGTGTTGGAAGACACAACTTTCCTTTTGGTTTGGAGGACCTTTGCAAATAAAGTTGTATGGTATACCTTGTCTCTCCTGTTTTCTGGAATAAAATGTAGTTATGAAATAGGTTTAGTAAGGAAGAAAGGTGATTTAGGACATGGGAAAATGGGTAAGCCTAGCTTAAGAAAGTGGTAGTTCAGACTAGGGAAGAGGATGCCCTTCGGCTGAAATTCTGCAGCCCTCCAGATGCAGGTGCGTTGACTGTGGCTCTAGCTATCCCATAATTACTGACACTTCACTTTTCGCTGAGTGCTGGCACATCAGTAGTGGTTTATTGGACCTTCCCGCCTCAACTCAGTCCATCTGGTCTGTCTGTCCCACACTTAACCCTTTTGCTCCTCCTCCTGACTCTGGAATATGCTTTTCCTGATTCCTCCCTTTCAGTTATTAACAGCAGCCGGCCAGAGCCCGGGGATCATTTCTGACTTGCTCCTTCTCCCACAAGCCCTGGTGAATTGTTTTTGCTTTTTCCAAGGCCCGGAGTGCGGGCCTTCCATCCTTGCTTAGGCCCTGTAACAGGAGGCACCTGTGGATATCTTTGTGCTTTTAACCCCCCCACCCCTAGTCCCTTTTGTATCCTGTTGCAGGTATTTCTCAGATATCCTTACTCGTTTGTTTAAAAGTCTACTGTGAATTCCTCTAACTAGAGAATAAAAATCTAAACTTGTCTGCATGCTTTAAGTTTGAGCCTCGGCCTCCCTTTTGAGAGTGGTTCTTTTCATGTTACCGTTTTAAAATTGTTCCTTCCTCCTAACCAGCAGCAACTAACAGTGAGCTAGTTAGTTACTCTGGACCCGGGATTTCCTGAATGAGCTTTTGTGTTTTCATTCTCTAGGCCTTTCTTTGCTTCTGTACTCTGCTTGGCAGTCCAGTATCTACTTTTAAAATTCCTACTTGAAGGCCTAACTACGAGAGAACCAGACAGAATCAATTTCTTCCTCATTTACATTTCTTCCATAGCACTTCGTACATACACACCTTCATATCATAGCACTCACCACACCTGTGTGTATTTATTTGACTGGCACGTTAGGTTGAATATCTGGAGGGCATGTCATGTTCATCTTTGTATTTCCAGCAACAGAATAGCACCTAACAGTAGGCCCTGGATTTTAGCCTAAACTGGCCCTTTAGCTCTCCTCCTGATGTGACGGGTGGGGGTCTTTGTAATCAGACTGTTGGTTGCCTGAGCCCCTCCAGCTCTGAGTGGTGTAGGGAAAGGTAAAGATTATCATAACATGAAAATTATTATTAATGAACTGACCACTTGAAAATTTTGTCCAGGCACGGCTTAACACTTGCTTCTGTCCATGCCCATTAAATCAAGGGTGGTTGTTACCACTCTTATTGCTGAGTGACAACAGTCAAAATTGGTTGTGAAATGAAATTGCAAGTCTTGCAAAAGATGCAAGATTTCATGAAGTTTGATGAAAGTAAGGTTTGAGAACTGTTAGTTTCACACACACTCATCTGTTGACACAGTGCATCCCAGAGACAGACCCACTAACAGTTGAAAACTGTTGGAGAAGGTGATAACTATGGGCCCTTTAAAACAGTATCGTTTAAATATTAAAAAAGAGAAAAGTCCTTGAAAAGACCAGTAAAGTCCTTAGATATATTTGCAAAATTGATTTTAGAGCAGCTTTGAGGTTCACGGTCAAATTGTACAGAACGTACAGAGTTCCTATATACCCCATCTGCCACCACACACTCCATCATGATGGACATCCACCCACCCCATGGTGGTCATTTGTTACAACGGAGAAGTCTGCACTAACACTAACCGTCCAGTCCACAATTTATGGTAGAGCTCACTCTTGGTCTTGTCCATGCTGTGGGCTTGGATGGACACAATGACCTGGGTCCACTGCTGCAGTGTCACAGTGGCACTTTGCCCCCAAATCCTCATGCTCTGCCTGTTTGTCCCTACCTCTCACTTAACCCCTGACAACCACTAATCTTTTTTACTGTCTATATTTTGCCTTTTTCAGAATCACATAGTTGGAATAATACAGTCTGTAGCCTTTTCAGATTAGCTTCTTTCACATAATCATTTAAGTTCTTCCATGTCTTTTCATGGCTTGATAGCATATTTCATTTTAGCACTTAATACTCTGTTGTCTGGATGTACCAGTTTATCCGTTTACCTACTGAAGGACATCTTGGTTGATTCCAAATTTTGGCAACTGTCAGTAAAGCTGCTGTCAACATTCATGTGCAGCTTTTTGAGTGGACGTACATTTTCAGCTCCTTTGGGTGAATACCAAGGAGTGTAACTGCTGAATTGTATGGTAAGAGTGTGTTTACTTTTGTAAGAAACTGTCAAACTGTCTTCCAAAGTGGCTGTGCCATTTTGCATTTCCACCTGCAATGACTAAGCGTTCCTGTTGCTCCACATCCTCACCAGCATTTGGTGTTATCAGTGTCCTAGATTTTGGCCATTCTGATAGGTGTGTAGTGTTATCTTGTGTGAGTTTGTGATTCCCTAATGACATGTCATACAGAGCATCTTTTCATGTGCTTATTTGCCATCTACACATCTTCAGTGAGGTGTGTGTTTAGGTCTTTGGCCCATTTTTCAATCAGTTTGTTCATTTTCTTACTATTGAGTTTTAAGAGGTCTTTGTGTATTTTGAATATTGGTCCTTTATCAGAAAGGTCTTCTGCAAGCACTTTCTCCACTTTTCTCTTGATAGTGTTTTTAGCAGCTCCATCAGAACTAAATTTAAATGAAGTTCTGCTTACCAATTATTTCTTTATAGATTGTGCTTTTGGTGTTGTATCTAAAATGCCAAACCGTAACTAAGGTCATCTAGATTTTCTTCAATGTTATCTTCTAGATTTATAGCTTTGCTATTTACATTAAGGAATATGATCCATTTAGCATAATTAGTTGTAAAGGCTGTCCTTTCTCTGTTGAATTTCCTTTGCTCTTTGCTAAGATCAGTTGACTATATGTGCCTATTTTTGACCTATTTATGTGCCTCTTGACTACACTTGGGGCCTGTTCATGGGCCCTGCACTCTGTTCTACTGATGTGCCCATTCTTTTGCCAGTACCGCACTGTCTTGATCAGTCTTGAAATTGGGGAATGTCAGTCCTTGGACTTTGTTCTTCGCCTTCACTGTTGAGTTGGCTGTTCTGGGTCTTTGGCCTCTCCATATAAGCTTTAGAACAGACTGAGGATGTTGATTCTCACAAACAACTTGCTGGGATTTTGACTGGGATTGTGTTGGATCTACAGATCAAGGTAGGGAAGAACTGGCCTTTTAACAATACTGAGGCTTCCTATCCCTAGACATAGAATGTCTCTCCATTTATTGAGTTCTTCTTTGATAGCTTTTCATTTGAGTTGTGTTGTTTTCCTCTTAAAAATCTTGTGCCTATTTTGTTATTTATACCTAATTAATTTTTTGATTATTAATGTAAACATAATATGTTTTTAATTTCAGTTTCTACTTGTTCCTAGCTGGTGTATAGGAAAGTGTTTGACTTTTGCATGTTAACTCTGTATTCTGAAACCTTGCTGTAATAGCTTAATAGTTCCAGCAGTCTCCTGGCGAGTCTGGCTCTGATACTGATGCCTGCGTCCCCCGTGCTGATTTTCCT